GTAATCAGACTCACATCTCCCAATAGTCCAGCTAACTGTCATTCATAATGCTCACATTATGCCACTGTTGAACAGTAATGGCTTATTATTCAAAATACTGAATAATATAGCTTTATTCTTCTCTGGTTTGCCAAAAACAAAGAGTTTGAGCTTGTAACTCTAACACGTGATCAAGTAAATTGAAGTAATATAGCTATAACCATAACTTTTTGGAGTTGGAATCATTCTTGGAGCATGATTTTTTAATATTTGCACTAAATTATATTTGAGCACTGAAATAAGAGTTTATAATTTAATCATTAAATAGGAAAATTGAAACGGCAACTTTAAAAATTACATAAACTAAATTGGTGTATATTACATGGACTATCATTTATTTGTCTATGTTTAGTTCTGATGTATATTAAATATTTTAAAAATGCAAATGAGAAAAACAGTACAAGACATTATGTTTAAAGTTGGGGAGGCAATGGCCAGTGGTATTATTGCTAGACATTAATCCAGAAACTCAGCTGATGTTCTGGGGACTGGCATTCGAATCCCACTGTGGCAGATGGTGGAATTTGAATTCAATAACAAAATCCTGGAATTAAGCATCTACTGATGACCATGAAATCATTGTCAATTGTCAGGAAAATCCATCTGGTTCACTACCATCCTTCTGAAAAGGAAATCTGGCATCCTCATCTGGTCTGTCTTACCTGTGACGACAGACCCATAGCAATGCGGTTGACTCTCATCTGCCCTCTGAAATAACCTAGCAAGCCACTCAGTTCAAGGACACTTAGGGACGGGCAATAAATGCTGGCCAGTCAGTGACGCCCCTGAGTGAATAAAAAGAAGTGAAAATGTTATAATTTTACTTGCAAGTCATTTGATATCCATTCACTGACCAACAGGATACTTTTCATGGAGTAAAAAAAATTACTGAATATTTCAAGAGGGTGATTTTCTGAATTTCCTGTAGCTGTAGTAGGAGGAGCTCAGGTCACCAATACTGAAGTTCCTTGCAGTATCTAAATAAGCTCTACTGCTTTTCCAGATCCATTGAAGAAAAGGTTTTTTTTCCAAAATGGTCAGTAATAAATCCCACAGGGATTTCATAAAATACTATTTTACCTAGAAAGTGATTAGATTGTAGGACTTGCTACCACAGGGGATGGTTGGGGCAACTAGTGTAGATGCATTTAGAGTAAAACTGGATAGACACACAAAAGAGAAAGGATTAGAAAGATATGTCAATGGGCTTAAATGTAGAAGTCTGGGAAGAGCATGGACTCCAGCATGGATCGCAAAAGAGAAAAGACCTAGATGAGAGCTGTTTACAGGCCTCCTAACTGCAGTCAGGACATGGGGAAGAAATAAATCACTAGGTAGAAAAAGGCATGTAAGAAAGGCACTATTACAATAATTATGGGGACTTTAGGTGGACTGGGAAAATTAGATTGGTAGTGGATCTCAAGAAAATGCATTTGTGAAATGTCTATGAGATGGTTTTTGGAGCAGCTTGTGATAGAGCCCACTAGGGATCAGGCAGTTCTGGATTTTGTTATGTGTAATGAGATAGACTTGATTAGGGAGCTGAAGGTGAAGGAAAACCTAGGGGCAGTGACCATAATGTAATAGAATTCACCCTGCAATTTGAGAGGGAGAAGATTGAATCAGATGCAACACTATTACAGTTAAGTGAAGGTAACTCCAAAGACATGAGGGACGAGCTGGCAAAGTTGATTGGAAAGGAGCCTAGCAGGAAAGATGGTGGAGCAACAATGACAGGGGTTTCTGGGCGTAATTCAGGAGGCACAGCAGAAATTCATTCCAAGGAAGGAGAGACATACAAAAGGGGAGTTGAGGCAACCATTGGTTGATAGGGGAAGTCAGGGCTAGCAAAAAAGCAAAAGAAGAGATACAATGTGGTGATAATTAGTGGGAAGTCTTTCAGAACCAGCAAAGCATAACTAAAAAAGCAGTAGGGGGGAGAAGATGAGAGTAAGATAGCTAGCAATATAAAAGAAGATTGCAAGAGTTTTTTTTAAATATCTAAAAGGTAAGAGAGAGGCAAGTGGACATTGGACCACTGGAAAATGAGGCAGGAGAAGTAGTAATCGGGAACAAAGAAATGGCGGAGGAACTGAATCAGTACTTTGCATCAGTTTTCGCAGTGGAAGACAGCAGTATACCAGAACTTCAAGAGAGTCAGGAAAGAGTGAATACCGTAGCCATCACTAAGGAGAAAGTGCTGGGGAAGTTGAAAGGTCTGAAGGTGGTTAAATTGCCCGGACCAGATGGACTACACCTCAGAGTTCTAAAGGAGATGGCTGAGGAGATTGTAGAGGCATTGGTGGTGATCTTTCTGGAATCACTGGAGTCAGGAAGGGTCCCAGAGGACTGGAAATTGGCTAACGTAACACCCATGTTTAAGAAAGGAAGGAGGCAAAAGACAGAAAACTATAGACTGGTTAGTCTGGCCTTGGTTAGAATCATAGAATTCCTACAGTATGGAGGCAGGCTATTCAGTCCATCAGATCCACATTGACCCTCCAAAGAGCATCTCACCCAGACTCTCCTCCCTACCCTATCCCTGTAACTCTACAATTTCCACCTAGCCTGCACACCCCTGAACACTATAGGCAATTTAGCATAGCCAATCAAACAACCAACGGTTGTTGGTAAGAATTTAGAGCCCATTATTAAGGATGAGATAGTGGAGTACTTGGAAGTGCATTGTAAAATCTGGATGAGGAACTGAGGGCATTGTTTGCTAAGTTTGCAGATGACGCAAAGGTAGCTGGAGGGTCAGGTAGTGTTGAGGTAGCGGGGAGGCTGCAGAAGAATTTGGACAGGCAAGGAGAGTGGGCGAGGAAGTGACAGATGGGGGAAAATATGAGGTTATGCACTTTGATAGAAAGAATAGAGGCAAAAACTATTTTCTAAACAGGGAAAGGCTTCAGAATCTGAAGCACAAAGTACTTGAGAGTCCTAGTTCAGATTCTCTTAAAGTTAACATCAGGTTCAGTTGGTGGTTAGGCTGTCAAATGCAGTGTTAACATTTGTTTCAAGATCGCTAGAATACAAGAGCAGAAATGTACTGCTGGGTTGTATAAGGATCTCGTATTGATAATATTGGGAGCAGTTTTGCACTCTGTATCTAAGGAAAGATGTGCTGGCATTGGAGGGGGTCCAGTGGAGGTTTACTAGAATGATCCAGAGGATGAAAGTCTTGTCATATGTGGAATGGTTGAGGACTCTCAGTCTGCACTCAGTGGAGTTTAGAGGATGATGGGCGATCTGATTGAAACTTAGAAAATAATGAGAGGCCTGGATATTTCCACTGGTAGGAGAGACTAGTAGCTGAGGGCACAGCCTCAGAATGAAGGGACGATCCTTTAGAACTGAGATGAGGAGGAATTTCTTTAGCCAGAGAGTATCTACAGAGGTAGTTTGTGGAATTCATTGCTGCAAAGGTTTGTGGAAGCCAAACCATTGAATGTATTTAAGACAGAGCTAGATAGTTTCTTTATTAGTAAGGAAATAAGGGTTACAGGAGAAGGCGGTTGGGAAATATATCAGCCATGATCGAATGGCAGAGCAGACTCGATTGGCCAAATGGCCTAGTTCTGTCCTGTATCATATATCATAGAATCCCTACAGTGTGGAAACAGGCCCTTCGGCCCAACAGGTCCACACTGACCCTCAGAGCATCCCACCCAGACCCATCCCCCTATAACCACCTAATCTACACATCCCTGAACACTACAGGCAATTTAGCATGGCCAATCCACTTAGCCTGCACATCTTTGGACCGTGGGAGGAAACTCACACAGACACGGGGAGAATGTGCAAACTCCACACATATTGTCACCCGAGAGTGGAATCGAACCTGTGTCCCGGGTGTTGTGAGGCAGCAGTGCTAACCACTGAACCACCGTGCTGCTTATAGTACATATTATACCAAGAAATGATCAAGAGCACCCTGACAGGACTAAGCTGTAATGCTGAAGCCCTCACCATAAACTTTCTGGGGTTACTATTCCCAAAATTTAACTCTCCCAGTCACGTTAGTACAATGACTATGAGAGAAGGTCAGAAACAGGGAGTCTTGCATCAACTAACTCACCTCCTCACTTCCCAAAGCCTGGGCACCGTTTACAAGGCAATCATCAGAAATGTGATACAATAATCCCCATTTACCTTGATGAGTATAACTAACTGCCAATACTACTCAAGAGGCTGGATACCATGCAGGCCAAAGCAACCTGCTTGATTAATACTCCTCCACATTAAACATTCACTCCAACACTAATACACTGTAGCAAGTTAAATACGCACCAGGAACTTGTCAAAATTTCTTCAACAACAACTTCCAGATCCACAACTTTCACGACATAGAATAATAAAGGCAGCATTTAATACAAGAACACACATATTAGGAGCCAACAGTAGGCTGTTCGACTTCTTCAGTTTTATTCCCCATTTCAATAAAAGATTGCCAAGGTTCACCAAATTGGTCGTGGGGACAGAATTGTATGATGAAAGGCTGAGTAAATTTACAGGAGAATTAGATAGGTATTTGATTGAGGAGCAGCTATTTTTGAATGGACAATAGAGTCTTTTTCAGACCTGTTCTTTCTCAAGTTTTTATCTTCGTGCCTAAAGATGTCTCCTTTCTAAGTCTAACAAATGCTGTTGGCTTGGCTGTTACACTGAAGAGGCCTGACATATAAGAATTCCAACATATAAAGTTTACCTTCCTTGTTCTCCTTGCATCAATGTTTTATCTCAATAAACCTGTCTGAAGTCTTCGGCACAATGTCAGAAACTAATGTGACTGAGTCCCATTCTAATTGACTGCTTACTAATTTATATCATTTGAAAGGGTACAGATTTTTGAGATCAATATGTTTTATGATCTGGTGAAGTGAAATCTTTTTTAATGAAATATCTATTTTCTTTCTTTGTTTTTTTTAAAATATGTCCCCCTGTCTCTTTATCTCTGTCAGGAAGTGAATATGATGAAGAAGAAGTAGACTATGAAGAATCAGACAGTGATGAGTCTTGGACCACAGAAAGTGCGATTAGTTCAGAAGCTATTCTGAGTTCTATGTGCATGAATGGAGGAGAAGAGAAACCTTTTGCCTGTCCTGTTCCTGGATGTAAAAAGAGATATAAGGTAAATTGGATGATAATAAATAGAGATAAATAGTCTGCTAAATGACCATTGATTTTCAGTAACTATCACATCACAAGCAAATGTTTTACGTTATATATTTTTAAGACCGTTAGAGGTCTGCTTAACCAGGTTAAATTACTATGACAATATTAAGGTTAAATTCCTTGCATTTTTAACCTAAATTTGCATTCAAAATATATTTTCATGATGCCTTTGGTTGTTTAAACAAATGGAAGTACATAATGTATTATAGGGAGTATTTCTCAATGTAAGGAATTAGACACACCACTTCAGGCATTGGATGTGCCCTCAATTTTCCAGAATACTTGCAGTTTGTTCTCAAAAGATTAACAATGAGTGCAGAGCTCATCAGAAACTTATGTGTAATTTTGTACCTACCTCTGTTACAAATTTATCATCTGCAGTAGATGTCCTCTTGGGTTCATGTCACCTCTGTCTCCCATATGCTACAGTTATATTCAAGAATTTTCCCTTACTGCCCAAAGTTGACTCTTACAAATAGCAATACCCAGGGAATATCTGAACATATCCCATTACTGAAGACTGCTCTTCTTTATAACAGCCTATCTTTGATCTTTCCTCTTTTCCTCCACTTTCAAATAGGGATCTTCTGTCAGTTCACTGGTTATGGAATGATATGTCAACATATCAGCCGTCTCTGCACCCATATAACCACCCCTGTAATCAACAGTAAACAAAATAAAATTCCTTTGTACCATGCTTAGTTTTAATTTTGGTCCAAATGTGCAGGGCTTCACATAACATCTGTCATTCATTGTTAGTCATTAAAACTTATCACGATGTTGCAAAGGATATTTATGCTTATGTTGACAAATTTTAACATTCTGTGACAAGTTTAATGGGTTTAAAAAAAAATCACAGGGAAGCAAAGGAAAAGGGCTATTTATGTGAAACTAATAGCAAAGCTGCTGAACACAACAATGTTTGCATATTCACAGTAAACCCATAAATCTAAACGTCATCTGAAACTGCAACACCATTAGCCATGGCAAGGCGCTATAAACTACTTGGAAATTATAGCCGCAAAGGAAATCTCCAGTATTTCCAATTTGTGCTGCCAGCAGGCAAGACTGGCTGTCTGCTACTTAGGCTGTCATCCAAAGATGTAAACCTTCAGGAAAGTTGAATGTAAACCATAGTGAAGCCCAATTTAGAGACATGAAGAATTCAGTTTCACCACTTTTTGGTAATTACTTTGTCTGCAGTCATTGAGTTAACTGCAGAACTGATGCAGCATCACAGATTCTAGCATCCCAAATGTTCTCTTCGACAGAGATCAGCTGAAAATCCATATGTGCATAAGGTAGCCAATCAGGAGACCCCTTGAGGAATTCATCCCCTTTAGTAATTTTAGTTTAATGAGTTTGTCTTTCTGGTAACTATACCAGACTGTTCACACAATCTCCACGGTCTATTTGATTTTGAATTTCCAATATTAAATCTGGAGTTGCGCAATTCCTAGTTAATGTTTCAGGTCTGGTGACTCATTGGGAAAGGTCACCGGACCCGAAACGTTAACTCTGATTTTTCTTCACAGATGCTGCCAGACCTGGTAAGCTTATCCAGCAATTTCTGTTTTGTTGCTGATTTACAACATCCGCAGTTCTTTCAGGTTTTATTTTGTCTAATTCCTAATTTTCGACCTCTGCCCCAGCTTCAGCCTATCGGCCACTGAAACTGTTATCGATGCCTTTGTTAATTCCAAACTGAACGATTTTCACATTCCTCTGGCAGGCCCCATATGTAAACTTCAATTTATTCAAAACTCTGCAACAGAACTCTATTGTATTCTACACAATTTCCAGTTGCCCATCTCCCCATGTCCTTACTAATTTAACATTAGTTCAAGTGCCTCAACTTTAAAATTCTCATCTTCATCTTAAAGTCTCTTCATTGCCTTATCTCTCCATCTCTGCAATCTCCTTCAGCACTGCAATCCCTCCTTGTTGCCTCAAGTGTCTTCCCCTGACTTTGACCTCTTGTGCATTCACTTCCCTCCCTCTGCTTTCTAAGGATTCACACGGCCCATTATGCTATCTTACTACATTGTAGTAGAACAGTCAAGCCAAGGCAGCTGATACACAGATTGAAATTCAATGATTTATTCTTTCAAAAATGTTCATTCTGTATTGCTTCTCTTTCCCTCCCTCCCCTCCTCCTCCCTCCCCAACACCCCCATCCCCCACGTGCAGCCAACATGATGAATGTGAATAGGAAAACATCATTATATGAAACACAAAAGGATCAAGTAAATTGTTTTCTACAGAACATAAGTATACAGTGCTGTAATCACTTAGATAGAGTAACTCTCAAATTTAACAACTGACACAAAGCACAATCAGCTTTATGTAATCTAAGTACTTTTTGTTCTTGTAGCTTTTGAGCAACCTAAACATAAGGTGATGATCATTTTATCCTGGTCTGGTTGTACAGTGTGGGTTGTGACTGAAGACACACTAGAAAATGAGAATATTCTAAAGGATTAATTCTTTGGTTCAGGAAGCAAGCAATCCAAGGCAAAAACACAGAACAGTAATTTCCCTGGAGGCAATTGAAGCATTCAGTAGAGTGGTGTCTCTAACAAATAAAACCTCTGCAATTTGCTACATTCTATCTTGTTTGCTTTGTTTGACAGCTCGTCTTAAGTACCCCTAGAACTAAATAATAATACCTGGTCTGCTTCTGGAATCTCTGCGCTCATCTGAAATTCAGGAGGCCTGTCTCACTGATGTCTGGCACAACATAAGAACCAGGAGCAGGAGTAGGCCATCTGGCCCTTTGTGCCTGCTCCCCCATTCAATAAGATCATGGCTGATCTTTTCATGGCCTCAGTTCCATTTACCCACCTTCTCACAATAACCTTAATTCCTTTATTATTTAAAAAAATTATCTATCTTAGCTTTAAAAGCATTCAATGAGGAAGCCTCAACTACTTCACTGGGCAGGGAATTCCACAGATTCACAACCCTTTGGGTGAAGAAGTTCTTCCTCAATTCAGTCCTAAATGTGCTCCCCCTAGTTTTGAGACTATGCCCTCTTATTCTAGTTTCACCCGCCATGGAAACAACCTCCCAGCTTCTATCTTACCTATCCCCTTCATAATTTTATATGTTTCTATAAGATCACCCCTCATTCTTCTGAATTCTAATGAATATAATCCCAGTCTATTCAGCCTCTCCTCATAAACCAACCCTTTCAACTCTGGAATCAACCTAGTGAATCTCCTCTACACCCCCTCTAGTACCAGTACATCTTTTCTCAAGTAAGGAGACCAAAACTGTACACAGTACTCCAGGTTTGGCCTTACCAGCATCCTACACAGCAACATAACCTCCTTGCTTTTAAAGTCAAATCCCTCTAGCAACGAAGGACAAAATTCCATTTTCCTTCTTAATTACCTATTACACCTGCAAATCAACCTTCTGCAATTCATGCATAAGGACACCCAGGTCCCTCTGCACAGCAGCATGCTGCAATTTTTTATCATTCAAGTAATAGCCTCTTTTACTGTTATTCTTACCAAAATGGATGACTTCACATTTATCAACATCGAACTCCATCTGCTAGACCTTTGCCCACTCACTTAAACTATCTATATCCCTCTGCAAACTTTCAGGGTCCTTAACACGCTTTGCTCTACCACTCATCTTAGTGTCATCCACAAACTTTGACACACTACACATGGTCCCCAACTCCAAATCATCTATGTAAATCGTAAACAATTGCAGTTCCAACACTGATCCCTGAGGCACAGCACTAGTCACTGTTCACCAAATAGAAAAGCGCTTATTTGTCACCACTCTTTGCTTCCTATTTGTTAACCAATCCTCTATCCATGCTAATACAGTGCCTGTAACACTGTGCACCTTTATCTTATGTGGCAGCCTTTTGTGCGGCACCTTGTCGAATGCCTTTTGGAAATCTAGATGCACCACATCTACTGTGTCCCCATTGTCCCCTGTGCTCGTAATGTCTTCATGGAATTCCAGCAAATTAGTCAAGCACGACCTGCCTTTCATGAACCCATGCTGTGTCCGCCCAATGGGACAATTTCTATCTAGATGTCTTGCTGTTTCTTCCATGATGATAGATTCAAGCACTTTTCCCTCTACAGAAGTTAAGCTAATCGGCCTATAATTCCCTATCTTTTGTCTACCTCCTTTTTTGAACAGTGGCGTCACATTGGCTGTTTTCCAATCTGCTGGAACTGCCTCAGAGTCCAGTGAATTTTGCAAAATTACCATGAATGTATTTGTTATTACTCTCGCCATCTATTTTGGTACCCTGGTATGCATTCCATCAGCGCTAGCAGACTTGTCAACCTTCAGCTCCACTAGCTTGCCCAACACTTACCTCTTTCGTAATAATGATCATGCCTAGGTCTTCACCTACCCGAGTCTCTTTGTCATCAATTACTGGCAAGTTATTCGTGTCCTCCACTGTGAAGACCGACACAAAATACCTGTTCAATGCCTCAGCTATTTCCTCATTTCCCATTATTAAATCTGTCTTCTCATCCTCGAAAGGACTAATGTTTACTTCAGCCACTCTTTCTCATTTAGAAACTTTTGCTATCTGTCTTTATATACTGAGCTAGTTTAGTTTCATAATCTATCTTACTTTTCTTTACAGCCTTTTTTGCGGCTTTCTGTTGACCTTTAAAGTTTTCCCAGTCTTCTAGTTTCCCCACTGGTCTTTGCTACTTTGTATGCCTAATCTTTCAGTTTGATAGCCTCCCTTATTTCCTTAGACATGGCTAATTACCCCTTTTCCTATAGTTCTTCCTTTTGACTGGTATAAACTTTTGCTGAGCTTGAAAACTTGCTTTGAAAGTCCTCCACTGTTCCTCAACTGTCCTACCATAGAGTCTTTGCTTCCGGTCTACTTTAGCCAACTCCTCCCTTATCCTATTGTAGTCTCCCTTTGTTTAAGCACAGGACCCTGGTATTGGATTTTATCTTTTCACCTTCCATCTGTATTCTAAATTCAACCATACTGTGATCACTCCTTCAAAGAGGATCCCTAACTACGAGATCATTAATTATCCCTGTCTCATTACACAGGACCAGATCTAGGATAGCTTCCTCCCTTCTTAGTTCCATTACATTCTGTTGAAGAAGGCTATCGCGGATACATTCAATGAACCCCTCCTCAAGGCTACCATGACCGACCTGGTTCGACCAATCGACATGTAGATTAAAATCACCCATGATAATTGCTGTACCATTTTTACAGGCATTAGTCATTTCTTTGTTTGTTGCCCATCCCAATGTGATGTTATTGTTTGGTGGCCTATAGATTATGCCCATCTGTGACTTTTTCTTCTTAGAATTTCTAATTTCAACCTAAATGGATTCAACCTTATTCTCCATAGAACCTATATCATCTCTCAGTACCATCCTGATGTCCTTAAATATGAGAGCGACACTACCTCCCTTATTCTTCCTGTCTGTCGTTCTGAATAGTCTGATACCCCTGGATATTTATTTCCCAATCGTGACCCTCCTGCAACCATGTGTCCGTAATGGCTACTAAGTCATACTCATTCACAATGATGTGTGCTGTTAACTCATCTACCTTGTTTCGAATGCTATGAGCGTTTAGGAAAAATGCCTTTTTGCTAGTTTGTATACCTTTTTGAATTTTAACATCTGCATTAATAATATCTCCTGAGTTTTCCTTCCTCTTAACTTTCTTCATAGCCCTCGATATAGTTAAACCCTCCTGCATAAATGTTAACCTGCTGTTTCCTTTTTTATTCACCATTATATTTCCTGTCATTTTCCTCTTCCCTTCTCCCCCATTTCACTAGTTTAAATTTCTAGTGACCAACCTATTTATCCTTTCTGCTGGAACACTGGTTCCAGATCAGTTCAGGTGGAGACCGTCCTAACTGTACAGATCCCTCCTGTTCCAAAACTGATGCCAATGCCTCATGAAATGGAACCCCTCTTTCCCACACCACTCCTTTAGCCACGTGTTTACTTCCCTAATTTTCTTATCCCTATGCCAATTTGCACATGGCTGGGATAGTAATCTGGAGATTATAGCCCTTGACCTATTCCTTAATTTCAGTTTGAGATGAATTAATAGTGGATTTGATGGTGGAGACAAGGGTAATGATGCTGGCAAAGAATAAGCATTCCCCACCTCTGCCAATAGATAAGCACAAAAGAATTAGACAGAATGTTGGATTGTGAACTGCTGAACACGATAAAGAAGATTCTTTAATCTTATTTGGAAATAGTGGAAAGGTTTTAAAGCATTGTTCATTTAAACTTCATTGTACACATATTTTCTCAGGACTTAAAAAGTGCAGGCTATAGTCTTTTGTTGAGAGATTATTTGTGCTTTACAAAATGCTGTAAGTATTATTAAAAAACTAAATAGATAGAATGGTGCCAGTGCTCTGGAGTGATGCAAACTGTGACACCGACCGATTACCACAAGTCCCTTGCCTGGCAGAATGACACAGGCTTGGAAATGCAGGTCATGCGCCAACGGCATAAAGTGAATTTTAATTATAGCATGAATCAGCCATTCTGACTGACCTGACTATGTTCACCTGTCTTATTTACACGCTGCTGCAACCACCTGACATATATGGCATGTTCTTCACAACTGCATTACATCTTTAAGAAAAAGGGTCCCGACCCAAAATGTCAGCTTTCCTGCTCCTCTGATGCTGCCTGGCCTGCTGTGTTCCTCCAGCTCCACCCTGTGTTATATATGCTTGCAATATCTCCATATGATAGCTGGATAGTACCAACACTCTGGAACTCCTTCAGACCAACCTTCACTGTGAGCTGCCTGTGCTAACTTAGTTTACATTGGGTTAGCTTCCTGATCATCAACTATAAAGAAGACATGCCAAATACCTCTTTTGAACTGACCTCACTCAAAAAGAGTCCCAGCCACCCTAAAGTCTGCTTGTGTTATTACTGTCACCTCTTACAATGGACTTTGTTTAGCCATTGCTCATGTCACTACATACAATGGAAAGTACCCAGATTGCAGCTGTTCTGTCTCTTTAACCTCAATTGGATTTTCAGTGATTATAGACAAAGCTATGATTTTCATTCCTGCTGAATCATTCCCCAGAAGTAAATAAACTCCACCTACAAGTAATTTCTTAACTCTCCCGACTCCCACTGTTCCCAACAAGTCAGACTCCAACTAAAAATCTCAGGAGTAAGTGGGACTTGAACCCCGGCCCCCTGGTACAGAGGTAGGGACACGACCACCGTACCACAAGCACCCCCTGAGTTCCTCAGGTTCTGTCCTGGGCCCAACTATTTTCAGCTGCTTCGTTAATGACATTTCCTCATCATAAAGTCAGAAGTGGGGATGTTCACTAATGATTGTACAATGTTCAGCACCATCCTCAGATACTAACAGAGTGCATGTCCAAGTGCAGCATGACCTGGACAATATTCAGGCTTGAGCTAAAAGGGCAAATAACATTCAGGCAATGACCATCTCTAATAAGAGGGATTCTAGCTATCACCCCTTGCTATTCAATGACATTACCATTCTTGAATCTCCCGCTATCAACATCCTGGATGCTACCATTGACCAGAAACTGAACTAGACTGACCACTTAAATACAGTGGCTACGAGAGTAGATCAAAAGCCAGGAATTCTGCTGTGAGTAACTTGCCTTCCAACTCCCCAGAGACTGTCTACCTTCTACATGCCACCAATCAGGAATGTGATGGAATATCCCCCCACTTGCCTGAACGAGCGCAGCTCCAACAACACTCAAGAAGCTTGCCACGGTGCAGGACAAAGCAGCCCGCTTGATTGGCACCATATACACAAGCATCTACTACCAACGCTCAGTAGCAGCAGTGTGCACCATCTAGAAGATGCGCTGTAGAAATTCGTCAAGGCTCCTCAGACAGCACCTTTCAAACCAGGACACTCCCATCCTGAAGGACAGGATTACAGATACATGGGAACACCGCCACTTGCATGTTCTCTCCAAGCTGCAATGAGCTCTGCTATTCCCTGAGTCATCACAAAAGTTCTAAATCTTAAATGTGCACAGATTTAACAATTTATCTGACCTTCAGCCACTGATTAAAAAGTTCAGTCCAGGTTTATGTACTGTACAAGAATTACTATTTATTATGAGTATTTAGACTCTACCAGTCAGTATATAATGCTACCGGTTACTCTTATCTCTTTAAAATCTCCGCTACAGGCGCATGAGCACATGCACACATGTACACGATTATTGAGCATGATTTTGAAAATCAGGAAAGATAGTTCCGTTGTTTTTGATCTCTAGTTCTGTCACTGAGATGATCCTCATGACTCTTCTGCTAGCCAGCACGCTGCATCTGTTTTTTTCGGACGTTTCCACTCGTTAGTAAGAGACACAAGGTGGCTGGTTCATTTATAAAAAGTACCCAGCTTATCAGTTCAAATTCACAGTTCACGACTTTTGTGAGATAGACAAATTTCCGGTTTAGAGTGAGTTTGAGTACAGAGAGTAAACAGATAACTCCCAAACTGGGAAAGAATAAACACTCTTCATAACTAGTCCCCAGCTCCAAGCTGCTCAGTTATCTGAGAACCAATTTGTTGACGGGCAAAAGGTCCCTGTTGTTGATAACTGTTCACTAGCCCATAGACCAATCAACTTCTTGTTTCAAACCAGAGCTGCATCTGTACATACCCTCAGCTCCAAATCATCCACGACTCAGTCTTCAATTACTGCTTGTTTAAATAGTTGCTTACATTATGCCTGCTATAGGTGTCAGGTTACTTGCTTTAAATGCATACAGTCACCCTTTCAAACACTGGTTTTAAAACAGTTCTTTCTCATTTCAGTCCACAGTTTTTAAAAAAGCACAAAATAATAAGACGCAGTCCTTACAGTATATAGATCCTGATTATGTGCTCGTGTATAAAGTACACACAGTGCCATTATCTGGGCTGGCAGCTGAGAATGTCAGAGATCTGGCACACCTCTCTCTTCCTTCTGGGGCTGCTGTTTGATCAAATGACGGTTGTAGAATTATAGAGTCATATAGCCCAGAAACAGACCCCTTCAGTTCATCTCATCCATGCTGACCAGACATCCCAATCTGACCTAGTCCCATTTGTCAGCATTTGGCCCATATCCCTCCAAACCTTTCCTATTCATATACCCATCCAGAAGCCTTTTAAATGTTGTAACTGTACCCACTTCCTCTGGCTGCTCGTTCCATATACACACCACCCTCTGTGTGAAAAAGTTATCCCTCAAGTCGTTTTTAAATCTTGTCCCTCTCATCTTAAACCAATGCCCTCTGCTTTTGGAGTCCCCACCCTAGGAAAAAGACCTTGGATGTTCACCCTATCCATGCCCCTCATGATAAAATCTCTAGAAGGTCACCCCTCAGCTTCCAACGCTCCAGGAAAAAAGCCCAGCCTGTTCAGCCTCTCCCTATAACTCAAACCCTCCAGTCTCGGCAACATCCTTGTAGATCTTTTCTGCACCCTCTCAAGTTAACAACATCCATCTTGTGGAAGGACGACCGGAATTGTACTCAATATTGTAAGAGTGGTCTCACCAATTTCCTATACAGTGGCAACATGACATCCTAGCTTCATAGGTATCTGAAAGGAAAATATCATCAGAAAGGAAAAATAAGGTGAAGAAAGGGAGATAGGTGTAAAACAAGACAATCATTATCACACCACACACATTTTGTGTCTGATGTCAAATAACAGAATGTGGATAATGTAGATTTTGAGAAAGAACATAAAGCAATGTTATATTATCTTCCCAAATCTCTCAGTGACACAGAATGTTACAGCCTGTATCAGCCTACCGTTTCAGCTTTGCTCCGTTCTTCTGCAAATAACTTTGCCCTGCAAGTGGGAGAGCAGGATAACTGTGAATTCATTTTATTGTGTTTGAGTGATGTGCCTAACAAAGCTGAATAGCTGAAGTATGTGGAAGCAGTGGGAGATGGGTTTGAGGCCATCATAAGAAGGTGGGTGACAAAGGTTATCTCGGTGTCAGGCGTGAGCCGTGGCTGTCATTGATTTCTGATGGGTGACTGATGGTGGAATGTGCATTAACCAGGGTGAGAGGTCGGTGTTGTGGTAAATTGGAGGTGTTAATGTTAAAATGTTTTCACTGACTTGGACAGTCTTTGTAGGATTATTCATCTTCTCCAGCATTGCAGTGGCTAATTCTCCTCTTAGTTTTGTTTTAGTAACAACTTGTAACAAATTTTGTTTTTAGTATTTTTGTTGATATAGTATTTATGGCAGAAATCCCTTGTATGGGAAGCAGCCATTTCAACATTTACTTATACAAAGAAAGTCATAAGTAGCCATGGTAGCATGGTGATGGTTCAAATCATCCCAAAACCTTTTCAAAGTATAGTCATTTTAAAGGGATCGCACATACGCTGTAGGGATAGT